ACTTATTCTTGAGAAGTTAATTGAAGTAGTTAAACCTAAAATTTGACTTATCAGGTTTTTTATCCTAAATTTATATAAATATATTTAAAAAAATATGTCAAGTTTTTGGGAGTCTAGAACACTACACAAACAAATTTATGTTATAGTTTAATATACAAACTAATTGATTTTCATATTGCGTATGCAAGAGTACTTAGTTGTTGTGTGTCGAGATAACTGTTTCGTTCGACGGAATTAAAACAAACAATACTTCTTTGTTCTAACCGGAAAAATGTTAAATATTCAAATTGCTGAGAAAAATGAACAGAAATTTTATTTTTATCAAATTTTTATTCAGAAATTTGAATATTAAATTTATTTGCATATTTAATTAGCTTTGTAAAGTTAGGTGATAGATTTATTTCAAGTAATGACTAGATCTTATTCTATAATGGTGAACTAAAATTAAAAACATAAATTAGAAGATGTTTCATATACTAAAGGTTAAAAAAGAAAAAACTAAGAAACACTTTGCTCACCAAAAAATAAAAAAGGGTAGAGAGGGGAAAAAGAAAAAGAGAGCATCGTCGTTTCTCTGGTGGTCGGCGCGTCGTCGCATTTGTCGGTTTGAAATCTCATATCTAGTTTTGTCGGTTTCGTCTTCGGCAGATCCGTCTTCGCATGAGGTTCTCCGTCGGTCTCCGGCCTCTGATTTGCCTGTTTCATGTTTCCCAGCCATTCGTTTTCCGGTGTCTTCTCTTTCTTTGATGCTCGCGTTGAAGGTGTTTGAAGAGATTGTGCTTGGAGCGGTGGTTTTGGGGAGTTGCAGAACTGGTCGTGGCGGCGGTTTGTGGTGGACTTTGTGGTGGTTAGGTTGATCTTTGTCTTTGTTTTGGTTCCCGATATCTTTTGGCTTAGTCGATCTCCTTTAGGGCCTTGGTATTTCGTCTTGTTAGTTCTAGTATAGGATTTAGTGCTGCGCGTTTCTGTTTCGGTTTTAGGTTGTTGTATCTTCAAATCATTTTTATCAGTTCCTTCCCTCGGTCTTAATCGGATCGCATCCTTCACCATTCCTTCCTTTTGAAGCCTTGGTGTGTCGATTAAGCGGTTGCTTTAGCCTCATCCACTCGAAGTTAACAATAGGTTTTGTTGAGACCTGTTTGGTTTGTTGCGCCCAACTCACCGGTACTTTGTTGACTGTGTTTCAACTTTATCTGGCATCAGCTTCTTTACAACGGCCTTACCTATGGGGAGGTACCGTTTGGCCATCCTAAGGGTTCGCAATTGTTAAAAATTCTGAAGTCTCCACACATCAAGCGAGAACTTGAAGAGTTGAAATCGCGTTTACGTATTGACGGTTCTCCGGCGATGTCTAGTACGTTTTTGTGCTTGGGTTGGACACGTTAAAATTGTTTGTGTTATAGCTAGTTTAATTCCTTCTTAACGCGCTATTTCTAGTCTTGATTAATTGCGTTTGTTTCTACGCTCCTCGTTAAACTTTCGGGCTACGCTCCCCGGTAATCCTTCGGACTACGTTCTCCAGTAAATTTTTGGGCATTGCTTTCAATGTATCCGTTTGTAATGTTACCTTGTTTTATAAAATACTAGGGATTGCCCACGCGTTGCGTGGGTTTAAAAATAAATATTGTATAATATGCAATAATCTCTAGCTTATTAACAAATTATCTATTTAATATTACATAAATTTGATGTTTATAGTAAATAATTATCTAGATTAGAAGATTAAACACTTATAGCAAATTATTTGACATATACAATGTTATATGGAAAAAAAATAGATCTTTCATAAAACTACAACATATAGAAGACATCTTCTTTGGCACAAGTCTCTAACTTGTATGTCTTCATCAATATTCACTACGATTTTCTAAAAAATGATTTATTGTCTTTTTATTGCATCAAACACATTTATAAAAAAAATTATTGATTAGAGAAGTTGTAATTTGATTTTGATTTACTTTGACATATGCATCTTCTCAACAAAGATGTTGGAACGTATCTTTGTGTTTATTTCAATGGAACTTTGAATCATATTGAGAGAATAATTGATGCTTCATTGTATTTTTGTCTTATTCTCTTTATCGTTTTGCTATGATTTTTTTATCTTCAACATCGATTCATTGGTGAAGTGATTTTGTTTTTCTAGATTCACAATTTGCGGTGGATTAATGTTTTTTCAAGAGTCTTGGATAGAAGTGTTATGTTCACTACAAATTGCATTAATTTCATTAAAGGATAGTTAGAAAATTGGCTTTAGAAGGTGTGAAAAGTAAAAAAAGTTAATTATGAATATTTTCAATCAGACTTTAACAATCTTAAAATCATATCTTAATTTTTTCACAGCCTTTTTTTTGTTTTTGTTCATGTGAGGTTTCTTTTTATCAAAACTTCTCTTTTGTGACTTCTTAGAAAACAAAATCACAATTCCCTATGTAAAACATTTTTTGTATATTATATTGTTGGATTTATTAAATAAAATAACTATTTTTCAAACCATTGAAAATTCACAATAATACATTTAATATTGAAATTAGTTATTAAATGTTTGAAATTAATTGTCAAGTTATTAACACAAAATTTTCATTTTTCTTTTCAATAGATAAATTCGAATGCCAAATGGAATAAGTGCAACATGGCACCCTCTTATAGTTTTGGTTTTGAATAACTTAAAATATTATATAAGACTGACAAATTGTGTATATAATGTTACATAAATTTGATTTTTATAGTAAATAATTATCTAGATTAGAAGATTAAACACTTGTAGCAAATTATTGGACATATACAATGTTATATGAAAAAAAAGAAATAGACCTTTCATAAAACTACAGCATATAAAAGACATTTTATTTGGCACGAATCTCTAACTTGTATGTCTTCATCAATATTCAGTACGATTTCCTAAAATGATTTATTGTTTTTTTATTGTATCAAATACATTTATAAAAAAATATTGATCAGAGAAGTTGTAATATGATTTTGATTTATCCTGACATATGCATCATCTCAAGAAAGATGTTGGAATGTATCTTTATATTTATTTCAGTGGAACTATGAATCGTATTGAGAGAATAATTGATGTTTTATTGTAATTTTTTCTTATTCTCTTTAACGTTTTGCTATGATATTTCTTTTAATCTTTAACATCGATTCATTGATGAAGTGATTTTGTTTTTCTAGATTCATAATTTGTGGTGGATTAAAAATTTTTCAAGAGTCTTGGATAGAAGTGTTATGTCCATTACAAATTGTATTAATTTCATTAAGGGGTAATTAGGAAATTGGCTTTAGAAGGTGTGAAGATTAAAAAAATTAATTATGAATATCTCCAATCAGATTTTAGCAATCTTAACAATTTTAAAATCATATCTTAATTTTTTTTCACAGTATTTTTTTTTTGTTCATGTTAGGCATTTTTTTATCGAAACTTAATTTTCTTTCGGACTTTTTAGAAAACAAAAACACAATTACCTATGTAAAAATAAAAGTCTTAAACATTTTTTGTATATTATTTTGTTGGATTAACAAATAAAATAACTATTTTTCAAACCATTAAAAATTCACAATAACACATTTAATATTAAAATTAGCCATTAAATTATTGGAATTATTTGTCAAGTTATTAACACAAATTTTTTATTTTTCTTATTAATAGATCCTCTATATATTAATGGGTTCATTTTGGTGATGTGTCAAGCTCTCAATTTTTTCACCATTTTTATTTTTGATTTATTTAATTTGGTTATCTTCATTGCTAAACATAAGATATACTTATTGCCAAACAGAATTTCAAACTTCCATTAAAAAAAATATATATTAATTGAAAAGTATTTTACATGAAAAACTTTACCAATTAATTAAACTCGAATTTGTATATAAGAACAAAATTATTTTACTCATACAATGACTATGAACCTATAAAGTTAGATTTTATATATTTATTCAATATAATTTTTTACCAAAAACTTATTATAAAAATTTATCTTACGGATTTTTATTAATATGAAAAAATATAATTTACAAGAATATATGTTTGTAATCAAATAAGCTAACACCATATATTTTTATTTAAATGAATCTGAGGTTGTTATAAAACATCTAATAAAACTAAATAAATCATAATAATTTTATTTGAGATCTAAAAAAATATCTGATTGTCATTAATAAAAAAATTATAAAATCTTGGTAGTTACAAAACCTAACCTTTTTGGCTTTTTCCATCCAATCATTAAAAATTTTTACCAAAAATTCAAAATCTAATTTAATTATCATTCGACCAAAAAAATGTAATCTACTCTAAATAAATTTATTATTGTAAGTTGGTAACTAAGGAAAATTGGCTAAAAATATTTCCACAAAATATTCTTAAAAATTAAACAAAATTATCATAACCATAATATTTAACAATTATTTATCATGTGGTAATTAATTTTCTTTCACATTTGCTAAANGAATTTAAATGTTCTAATATACTGGTATTGAACATCTTTTATTTTTTATTGTGTTTGTGTTATCTAAGATGCTTAAACACATGTGAATATTCTTCAAGTTTCGAGAAAAACATATTGAATATTCTTAAACTTGCCAAAAACGTATATTTCAAAACTTTTAATATTAAATCTCACT